GCCCCAACTGTGCTGGCCCTGGTGCACTGGCACAGACCCTGTGCTTCCACCTGGCTGTCGCTGCGTTCCTCACGCCTACTCGCTGCCCATTCACTCTGTATTCTGCAGCCATCACTGCCCCCGCCTCGCCCATCTGCCAGCCGGCTGGCGCTGCATGGTTCCCAACTGCAGCACTGGGACCACAGGAGCTGGCCCAGCCAGCTATGGGGACTGGGGCGATCTCCCACAGTCCTTCCCTACCTTCCCCCCCCTCTCCTCCGCTTCCTTACCTGTATTTCCCTTGGTGCAGGGAAGCAGGAGCAGTCCCAGGCCAGAAGCATCCATCAGCCCCTGCTAGGTAGAGGCTTTCAGCTGGGGTTCGGGGTGGCAGGGCTAGGCCGGACTTGCTGCTGTGGCTGTCTAGTTCTGCCGTTGGCTCCCTCTGGGTCCTACTGCCTCTGCTTCATGTCATCTTTGACAGGCAGTCAGGGGCCTATAAATATTTATTTTTCTAAATTTTTAAGGGACCCGTGGGCTGGATGGAATGGCCTGGTGGCCCAGATGTGGCCTGTGGGCCATATTTTGCCAGCCTCTGCTCTAGTGAGAACTTTTTCTGGCTTTCCCCCTGTGCTGTTTCAATGCAGCCCTTGTTAGAACAACACTGTTCATTAGAAAGATACCTATGTACCACACTCCCAGTTCAGAGGGGTATGTGCTTCTCAGCACCGTCGCTGTCAAATTTACAAAGAACACCCTGGTGACAGATGCTTGTCAATAGATTGGCTGCTAATACAGGGGAGTTGCCTCTAGACAAATCCTCTGTAAGCTTGTTAGCAGAACTCCTAAAGGCAGGGGCTTGAAAGGTTTATTTTCCAATGTTTTAGTCTTATTTGCTTTTGGTTTCAGGAGGTTTTCTACATGATAGAGCTACTGGCTTCCTGGGGTTTCAAGACTGGGATTGCAAATGTTGTCACTTAGTTTTTTACACGTCTGGCTAGCTAAGTACTTGTCACCTCTGAATTGTGTTAGCTCTGTTTGATGAATGAGGCAAAACTGAGATTAAATGACTAGTTTATACATTCCTGGCAGTGTCAGGAATTAAATATGGATCTCCTGAGTCCCAGCCCAGTGGCCTCAACACATGACATAATGTGCTATTAGCATGAAGGCTGGAGTCACTGAGATTCCAGAGAAGATAGCACATGAATCTAGCTGGAGCTGATCACAAAAGATGCAGGCTCCATTCCTGTATTAACATGTTGGAGCTGAGTGTTTCATAGGAGTGGGAGGCAGTGAGAATTTCACCCAGCTGTTGAGTGTGGAGCTGTCAGTTGGTGGAAGTTACACATGGAGAGTGGGTGGACTAGGAAATGATGCTACTCTCCAGCAAAGAATACTGTCATTATCTCTGCCAGGTTAGGGCAAAGCGTAAATTTTCTGTCTATTCCATCCTACTTTCAGAAGCACCCCCAACTTGTCTTGGATA